CCCCAAAACCCCAAAACCCCAAAACCCCAAAACCCCAAGAATAAGCCACGTTGCTGAAATGACTAAGAAATTATTCGCGATTTAATAACAATTTAATAACTTTTGAATATAATAGTACCAAAGAGTTTTAGAAAAGGAACAAATGAGAGTTAATATCAGGGTAAGAATTTTAGAAGTCATCTTCATTAGAACAGAATTCTTGCCTTCCAACGTAGTTCAATGCATCTTCCAGTGCATTCGTTCCCTCCTCAATGGCTCTTTTACCTTCTTCAATACCAATCTCGATGTTTTTAACCATTTCATCGTGGATAAAGTTGAGAGGGAGGAAACCTCCTGGGAGTTCTTGGGATGGAGCAAGGACATATCTAAAGTTAACCTTTGGATATCCTCTCTTGATCTCTCAGTAATCGCTCATAGTTGCGTAGTAAGATCTGATCTCTTGGTACCTTCCATAGTATTGAAGCACATTTGCATTTTTGAACTTCTCTCCGTCACGTAGGAATGCTCCATTGCACATGACGACATCTACAATAATGTCTTCATCATTATCGACTATTTCATGACATCTTTCGATTGCTCCAGAGAGATCGATATTCCAAACTGATCCTCCATCGACAAAGGAATGACCTTCAAACTCTGTATGTGGGAATGCAAATGGCATCGAAGAGCTAGCTTTTACAGCTTTGGGTACCAAATCAAAATCCAGATCTTCGAAAAATTTATATACTTCTCCTGTGTTAATATCAACAGTGTTGATATTTATTCTTCTCTTTAGTTCCCTATCGGGGAAATCAGTGAATTTGTCAGTTAGATAATCCATTTCAGGAGTGTTGTCCCAGAGCCCTTGCTTAAAGAAGAGGCCTTGGAGAATTCCAAATCTCCAGTTGACATAAATATCAGTTTTAGTAAATTCTTCCCAGAGGTTAATCATCCAATCCAAGGCTTCCTTTTCCTGGCCGATCTCATGAAGTGCAATTGCTACTGCATTTATTGATCCAACTGAGACACCTGTGATGACATCCCATTGAGTCTCTTCGGTAGGAAGGTTATCTACAAATGCTTTGAGTACACCAACCTGGTACGACCCTAGATCACCTCCCCCCTCAAGCGCCAATGCTCTGCATTTCTTTCTCTTCTCTTGCGAATAGACTGTACAAACACAGAACAAAAGCAACACAATCGTTACCACTTTTCCTATTCTCATCTTTTATTTATAACCTCTTTCTATAATTTTCCTCCTAATGGGGTTTTGGGGTTTTGGGGTTTTGGGGTTTTGGGG